TCGGTCAGTGACAGGAAAGATGAAATGTGTGTTGTGGTGGCAACGACGGCTGAGACCAGCGCGATATTCATTGTTAGAAGATAGTGTGCGCTTTGCCAGCCGCACCCGTCAATCATTTCTTAACTCACCGCTCGATTTCCCTCAAGGTCTTTATCGGGATTGACGCAGCATTTTTCATGCTTTTCTGTGCAGCAGCGACTTGCATCGATTTCTCAGCGCTGTGCAGCAACGTCGTCGTTCTTGTTTGTGGCCGAATGCAACGTTACAACCGTCCAGGACGGCTAGATTACCGAAGCAGACCGGGTTCATTTCGGTTATCGTACTGCACAGTGAAAACCTCGTTACCGGCGTACGGTTTCTCCAAGACGTAAGTCATATCTCACGCAAATCTCTCAAGAGTCAAAACGTCAATTTCAAATGACATTTCTAACCGTCAGACAACATAAATCTGGTTACTCTGCGGTACACGCTGCATTATTCCTCGCTAACGATGATAAAATGAACATATAGCAAAAATCGTAAGTTATCGCTTTCCTCTGAGTAGCGAGCGAATCGATTGCAGTCCACACCGTAATGACTATCGCGTTATTTTCTCATCTTCGTTTAAGAAGTCTTTTTATGCCATTTCATCGTAGATGACGTCGAGAGCCATTCGAGCATTCCACCGGATCGAATAATGGCATGGTCGCTATTCAGTCATTTCGATTCCATGCCAGTGCTAACGAAATCTTCCCAACTTGTTAGAGGTCTTTGTGGCGGCTGCCTGCCATCAAGCTTGACGATCAGCATTCGTTTCGCAAAGCGGCTATCGTCTATTCGTTGTAAATGGCTTCACGATCTTCGACACGTTGTTTGCGGCCAGTCTGTAGCTTTGGTTGCATATTCTGCTCTTTCGTAGCAAAACTTGGCACCAGTTCACTGCGAATATTGATTTCAATTTTGGTCGCTTCCGATTGGCTGTTTCACTGCCGCCTCCAGGCCATAGAGCAAGATATTCAAAATGCAAGTCTGAATATCTGCAGTTTTGTGCTAATTCCAACATCTTTGTCCCTGCAGAGTTTCTCGCTAATGACAACGCACAGGACATCTTAACTTTGTTTGTCACTTGAGCATCTGCAATCAATTTGCTCCCAACATAC